TGGTGAACACTGAACAATGACCAATTCTAGTAATGATCATAATTCTGCAGTTTTTCCAGTGACTCATCTACAAATTTCATTTTGTTCAATACAATATATGATGTAATAAGATAATGTAATGTGACTTAATTCCTATATGCATGGTCATAAGTTGATAATACTTTGATATTGTTGCATATGCAATTATTTTTTTTTTAATATCTTGATTTTGAATATGTCAATCTTACTTTCTGATGTTTCTTTTGAATGCAATAATGGAAATTGTGGTATTATGCTGTTCAGCAAATTTGGACTATATATTTGGTCAAATGTACATGTATTAAGAAATATTCATTAAATGAATCAATTACAATGTGCTTGAATATAAGTCTTCAGATTTATGTACTGCAAGAGTAGATAAAGGATACTAAGTACTTGAGAAATCTTAGTTAATGTTCATCACAATTTTGTCCAAATTGTTTGCATATAATTTTTGTCCTTGTATATTTTCAGACACCAAAAGTAGTTCAGTTATGAAAATATTGCTTATTATCACAGAAGCTCTGAGACTATATTAAAGCTCAAAGTTGTCGATTTTCACCTGTCCGCCCAGACCTAATCAGCCGAATCGTCATTTCCGCGGAATCGAGGCGCTTCTACTCGTGACGTCATAAGTTCAACAGAAATGGCAGTCAACATGTATTATGTATGTCATTCTATGAAATACATAAGGAAGGGGTGGTAACTGTAATTCTACTTTCACTTTCACTTTTGTTTCTAACTCTCCTAAATAGGAGGCGGAATTAAAAAAGAGTTGAATAAAATAATAAAAATGGAAGACGTGCTTTGTTCTTCTGAAGCTTTCCAGATCGGTACTCTATGATCCTGGAACACATGACCGACAGTGACAACGACATCGCAACTGAGAGCGATATGAGCACGAGTTTTGAGGAGTCTGATTATGGTGTGGATGCTATTTCTTAAGACGGAATCCAGCCCTACCGAACTGAACCGGAGTTATCAAGACGATGTATCCAGTGAGGAGGATAATGACCCATCGGAAAGTGACGCTCGCTTGGGCAACATCGATTGGCACGTACTTCACTGGGTCTCACCAGTAGTCGAACAGCGAATCGTCGTTTCAAAGAAACAAAATAAAATTGGGTGTTGTTTTGGACTAATTTTACTATCTTCAAATCTCGATCAACAATTTCTGACGTCGGGAAATCGCGTTTGTGCAAGACTATGCATACATTCACGAGGTGTCGGGAATTTTCCTACCGAATAATTTTCGTCCGAGAGGAATTTTCGTAGCACTATGGATATATATAGATAGGGTGTAAACAACCAATTATAACACTCTCCACTGAGTTGATAAAAAAAAATTAATGTTTTAGAAGTTTATACAATTTTTTGACTGGTTTTTACCCAAGTACTGGTACGCGTCTGTTGTAAGCCGACAGGTGTGTCGCCTCACATGTGTCACAATTGTTTTTTTTTTTTTTTCCAGCCACAGAAGTGCTAATTACCTAACCTGGCACAGGTGTGATTAGGAGTTTAGATGATATCTCTACACTGTGAACTGTGTTTGCAAATTCAGATTGGTGATCTTATTGTTATTTTTACGAACGCAAAATTAATAACTAAACAACATCGTCTGCTGGGAGGTCTAAAAACCAAATACACCTTATACAAACAACATACACACATAATCTATTCTATAAATTCTAATAATTCTATTCTATACTATATAATAGTAGTATGGAAATTCTCGGTACGAACATTCCCGGGACCCATTCACGACTAGGCCTTCTCCGTGTATTAGGCGTTCACGATTACGAAGGAACAATATTCCAATGACCGCCCAAGCCATAGGCTAGCCTATCAATTTTAAATGTTTAGTTGTAGAATTAATAACAAAATATCAACCTTACAAATATACTTTTATTTAATCAACAATCAGTTTTATTTATCGCGATCATGCATCGACACCCCATCCGTTTTAGTGTTAGGACAACGATACACTGCACACCGCTTCCCTCCTCGATAGGAAGCCATTTTAGCGGATTTAAGCGCTAATTCACCAACCCCTCGTTCACTACCTTAGATATTGCGAAAATGTGAAGTACTTACCACGGAAAATCCCAAAATAGATCACAATCACATGTAGCACAGTAAAGACAATATGGCTGCATCAACAAAAGCGTTGAACGTATGACGTCACAGGTTTGGGTACCCGAAAACGAGGTCAACGCCTCTCAGCCAAAGGTGTGTTTTTCAGAGAAGTCGCAATTTCTCAGTAACGGAACATTCCACGGTATTCGCGTATTTGGCATAGTGTATTTTATGTGCAGAACTATTTTTAAAGGTCAAAATAGCTTACCTCACAGGGTACACTTTAAGTACTTGCCCCCAATGTCACGATTTTCGTGCAACATGTCGGTAACTGTTAGACAGTCTCACAAGACAGGGTTTCTAGATATGAAATTTGACGATCTTTGATGATCGGTATTATACCCAAGGATTCCTTTTTTACCTAACCGAGACGATGGATTGCAACACAGGAGAGCAGCTTACAATATTCACATTTATTTTAGGATTGAATCTTTTTTATGTCGATTTCATTGGATGATGAATTGAATTGGTGTTGAGACAAATTTAATGAACTGTGAAGCAGTTCATGTTGAATTTGTCTTAAGACCAACTCAATTGATCATCTTATATAATCAGCATAAGCAATATATTTCAATTGACGCTTCTTTTGTCTTTCTAGGACGGGAACTGACGCAATATATATTTTACTTCGTTTCTTGCTATCATATCTTTGACGTCATACAATCAAATAGTCCGTCATTTGAAGACATATTATTGTGACAGGTTGAAATATATTTCAGCGTGGAAACTTAAATGAGAGTAAAATTTAATTTTTCGACAACTTTAATGAAATTTGAATAAGACTGTGCGACAAAGAGAGTATGCATTTTTCCTCGCGGAGGAATAACGTCTAGAAGTGGTGTGCCTGTTTGCAAACAAAGCGGTGTCGGCCATTTCTTTACAGGCACCGAAGCGGAGAGCAAGATATATCAGGCTTCAGTCGCTTCACATCTTTTGAAACGTAAAGTTTCAGTTATTAAAAGTTGAATACACATTTTTTAAAAAACTTTATTGATAGTTTGCTATAGTTTTTAAGTTTTCATTTCGATGTTTTTTTAAATATCATGCTCGTGGTACATTGCCAGTCCAGTAGAAGTTGGGGAGTTTTCTCCCCTTACCTAATATTTGTATTCATACGCACTGGCAATGTTAATCTGGTCAAATTCATCGGTAAATGAAACAGATCACATTTAGTAGTTTCATTGAGTCTGATTTAGGTAGAAATTGAAATATTACAATTTGCAACGGCTGCTGTACAAGATATACATATAGTTCATCTATCGTAAGGAAATCTCTCACACGACAGATTCACACTACCAATAATGATATTCCACACCAGTCAATACAATACTATGAAGATCTGAATATAATATAGAATAAGCTACTACCTTAAACGTATATACCCTAATATATTTACACCCTATATACACCCTAGAGTTCATATATGAGCTCCTTCTAGCGACCGGTTTTCACTCATAGCCCACAAAACAATGTCCGTGATTCCTCACGTCGAAACCAATCAGATATTCCCCCATTGTTCCATAAAGTGACTGAAAGTGTCCAAATCACCTGACTGAGATATGCATATGCCACAAGTCCACAATAACTGACTAACTATCAGTAGATCTCAGGACATAACAAGTGACTAGTCTTCCAGGCAGATCTCACACAGTATGATCGAAGATCAATGACCAAACATGGTATTGTCGCCAAAACACACAGCTAGGCCTCCATAGTATCCGTTACAATATACCAATAATGCCCTATAAGACCGTATTCTAGGCATTATGATTAGAAAAATAATTATATTTATTTATATTACTAAAAACTAACTTATGTAACCATGACAATATACATCGATAACGCGTTCTCTCATGCAAAAGCTTATACACATGTGCGTTTACAGACGCTATTATATACGACATATTTACTAATTATCAAGCGTATTATAACTTAACGTGGCTGTATTCCACGCTCCCAGAGCTTTTTCCGATGTTTCACACCTGCCAACTCATCAAGTTTCGCATGAGAATAGTCATCGAATTAAAATCGTACAATCAATACACATAAGGCACACTTATATGAAATATACAAATATTTACACACTTCAATCCGGTAGGTGACATAATTTGTTGTTGACTTATACTCATGAATATTCAGGAATTGTTCTTTATGGGAAACGCAAAATATATGACAGCGAGAAACAACCAATATTTTCCAAATAGTTTATTTATGAATATCAGGTTTATTCAGACTTGATGATTTGTCCCCTCTCTACACATCCACTTCTAAATTCCAAACAAAACCACGAAAAATGACAAAGAAGTTGTAGCATTATAATTTCGATCGATATATATCGACTTACGAAAAATATCAACATCGGACTTCATTTTACTACGGTCGATATTATCAGGAATCGGCCTTATCGGTTATGTTTGTATGAAAGAAGCAAAGTCTTTTGAATACCACGGTATTGGAATAAATTCAGAGACTTGGCTTAACTATCTCCCTGCCTGTAGTCTTTCATGGTTCGAAAACCAGTGGCATAACTCCACGGAGAAATAATCTCAAAACAACTGGAGAAACCGCAGCAAAATATAGTGTAGATTTATGTTAATATGTATTGTGTGTACGCAAAATGCAGTTTTCTGATGGGAACTTATTTTTTGAGTATATGAAAAATACTACTGTGTAGATATGTTATTCAAGGATGATGTGAAAAGAAAAGAAACAGAGGGAAAAAAGGACTTCAATATCATAAGATACTCAAATAGTTTATTATGTACACGAGCAATCAACAATGAATAGTAACCAATTGATTAGGGGAATAATATGTTTTTTTATGCCTATATATGTTTCCGTTTGGAATGTTACGGCTTGACGCATCAAAGATCTTTGAATGGCTGAAAGACATTCCTATCAAAGCTTCAATAAGGGGAGTTCGTAGGTAAAAATATCAAAATGCAGAGCTCGTGAGAAGAAGTGCACATGGTAAAATGCTCCATCAGTACAAATATATTACACAGCCCAAGGATATAAAGCCATATTAGCATACATGTATACAAGTATACTCAAGCGTGAGTTATCGTTTATATATATATATTGTATCAGCGAATAGAATCATGTTTTGTTTAATGTAATCAGGTAATATCACAACATGTTTTGGTATGTTATATAAGGGAGATAACTAAATAACATTTAGTATTTAATGCTTCTGTTATGTCTACATACAGGTAAACAAAATCTACATCCTTTTTAGACATTCATTTACCGGAAGTAATTTAGTTTTATTTGAAACCTGTTATTTAATTTAAGTAAATATATAATTTTATATTTTAGATGCTGTTACGCTGACGGGGTCGTCCCAGTACGCTGTACCTGGGTCTGGGTTTACATTGATGTGTGATGTACCAGAGGAGGCCCAGGCTGTAATGTTTTACCGCCGTCCTGAAGTGACATCTCCAGAAGGTGCTATTCAAGTAGGTGGTGATCAATGTTACAACATAAATGTAGCCTCGCCTGTCCCCTGTATCCCGGATGTCTGTTCTTGTGTAACGTCAGGAGGCCTTGGTACAGTTTTCCGATGGATCATGCAGCCACAGACTGAAGACCATGGATCTGTGTGGTTCTGTAGACGTACTAACCTCAACCTACCTAACCAGACACTGGACAGTGCTGATTTCATCCTCAAAGTTGCAAGTAAGTGAACATTACTAACATGACAACTAGTGACATTTTAATTGTTTTTACCAAAGGATCAACACCTATATAAAATTCTGATTTGGTTGATGCTCTACTTGAAATGTTGATAGAAGTCACTGTTGTCTTTTACCTACCCAATCACTGGACAGTGCTGACTATACACTCAATATAGCGGGTAAGTAAGTTTCGTGTACATAACATGTTTGCAAAACCAACGTTTGATAATAATAGGTAGATCTTCTCATAGTGTTTTGTGATTTTTTGGGTTTGTGATAGGCATATTAGGCATCTCTGTATATAACAATCCAATATTAAAGTTTTGTAAACCTTAAGTCCCCGTCACGCATTACCGATGTACTTCACCTGGACCAAAATGAAGCACAAATTCAACAACACCAAGATAGCACACTTAACTTTTCAATTTATGATACCGGTATTTGATTGTTGTCACACCGATAAAGATCGGATTTGCTACTGAATATCACTTTTCATCTTCTTAGTCCTACTGATATCCCGCCGATGTGGTATCGACGCGGGGTCACAAAATGTACAACTTTAACAGTAGGGTATCACTCAGGTTATTGTAATACAACACAACGATATCACATCGCTACTTGTCTGGTAAACATTGATCAATCGTTTAATTACAGAGAGCTATCGGTGTTCAGCCGATATTATCAACCCCATACCATAATTCTCCCGAAGTAGTCCCATTGCTCGTTCTGATAGACATAGGAGATTTTATCGCCATTCTTTTTTTAAAACATCAAAGTACTGAAAGTACTGAGGACACAAACGAAAGGAATATTCTTCAACTGCGATTGATGTGAATGTTAGATAAGCTGTAAACGTTATACAAAATAAAAAGTTTAAACATTAATTGAAACAGAAAACATGTGTTACAAGGATAAAATATGTACATGTAACTGAATTAACTGAATATTTGTAATGTACATCAAATATCGGCCCTTGTTTGGGTAAACAACTACTTTGGTCGACTCCTGAGTTTTTTCCCTAAATGTCTGTCTGAGAGGCATTCTGAGATCTGACGGCGCCCTAACAGGATGTGGTAAAGTTTATTGAGACGTTATGTCGCGTGAATTCTGCGAACTAAATCGCTAATGATGCTATACATACGTTCAACCCCAAACTGTTGACCTCCACGTATATGGTGTATGCGAACGTGTGTGTTATGCCCTATTGTTGTTGCCATTCAGTGTGAACGGTACCAGTGAACCGAGTGTATATTGCCACATATTACGCTACACTCCAAACTTCAATTAATTTATTTGAAGTATTGACTGAACATGTTATTGAACCGCTCGTTACTAGCCTGAAAACGATACTTGTGTACATGTACTCACAACGAGACAAGCGTAACCGAAGTTCATGATCACCAGACAATTCTGCCAGTCACCGGGACAATACAAAACATCAACACATCCTTCTTATCAAGTGACGACTCCTTTTCCGGTACATTCTCGTCTACTCCTAAGACTATGCCTTACGTTCCCACTAGCCAGCTCAACCATTATAGTTCTTCTCAACCCTTCAGCTTTGCCAGCCCCTCTTCGCAGTCAGCGAACCCCCCAAGACCCTCTGTCATGGGTGGATTTAGACTATCGGATGAGAACATAGGTCGGATGGTTGAGGCGTTAATTGTTCGGTCCGGATGGAGATCAGGGAGATGGTTGGTGCTGAGGTCCGTAATCAGGTTACACCCCTACTCGATCGTGTTAAGTCCTTGCAGCATGAGAACCATCACATGCGCCTTATGATTGATGATGTAGAACATTTTTTTTTGCCCAGGACATATATAAACATATAAATACTGCCGGGGTTGGGGCCCCAGATTCAGCATCTGTACAAATATTTCCTCGTATAAGAGGGCTCTCATTCAACTTCCTTATATTTGTTTATCCATTCATCCAACATTTATTCATCCATCCACTCAAAGAACACGCTCATTTGATATTTCTGCTGGTTTTTTTTCCTTCTGTTATCCATTCATTTAGTAATTCATTCTTCATTCATTCAATTAACTCATTCATTCTGTCACTCAATATGTGGTTCATCATTCAATTATTTACAAAGAGTTTTGTTTACAACAAATTCTACATTTGTTAAAACATCATCACTTGCTGTCACAAGAGAAGACAGATACTGAAAAAAAAAAAAAAAAAAGGAGAGCACCTCCCAAACAGGCCAATCGAACACCGGATACCCACCCATGCAGCCACAGACATTATACATAAATTACTTCAAAAGGGGAAAGAATTTTTTTGCCAGGAATTAGTATTCCTTTATTTTCCTAAGGGTCTATGTTATTCAAATATTGTTCAAAATCACCCCATTTATTCTGGAAGAGTAGTAATGATCTATTTTTCTCCCAATTGTACTTTTCTAATTTCATGGTTTTTGCAAAAATCATTCTACATGTTCTAAAATTTGGAATGGAATCTTTCAAGCGTGAGCAATATATGTGGTATTTCATTAAAATTGAAAAAATGGTTTAATAATTGCCCATACTTTGGACCACCCAGAAGAATATCTGCATCTGTAAAGTTGTAAAATGGATGTCTGCCATCACTTTCAGTATACCATAAATTAAACTCTTCCAGTAATCTCCGTACATAATAGCAATGGACAAAGACATGTTCTAAAGTTTCTGTTTCCCGATTACAGAATGTACAAAACCTATTTGAAACTAGTTTCATTTTTACTTACAAATCATTTGTAGGTAGAATCCTATGATTAATTTTATATTAGAATGATTGTAATTTTGTTTCGATTGTATATTTAAATGTATTAATGTATATATCATGCCAGTTAAAATCATCATCTATTTCTATTACCGATTTCCATTTCTCTTGACTTCTTATAGGTTTTATTGCAACTTGTTGAACCAATTTCCAGTAAATAAACTTCCAGTCAGTTCCGCTTAACATAACTGATACAACATCTTCCTGTCTAGTTGGTATTGCAACTCTATTCTGTTCTATCTCATTTCTGTATGCTTGCTTCCAGTTTTTGTCTATCTTGTTTACTATACAGTAATACCGAATAAAATTTTAAAGAGTGCACTGCTTCTAACTCATTGAATTCTCTAATTATCCCATTATGAAATAAATCCCAAACTGTTCCTAGACCATTTAGCATTTTCCACTGTTTACATAGCTTTATATTTTTAACTGGTACACAATTTATTAAACTTTTGCATTAATATTGTGACAACGTGTCAGGCCCACTTAGGATTTCTGATAAAGCAAGAATCACATCTCTCCAAAATGGATTTTTAATACATTTCTCAATTTCCCCAAGTTATTTCCTATCGATGTCATACAGTAGTTCAATTTCAAACGGTAATAGTTCTTTTAACAAAGTTATCCATGTAACCTTCAAGTTCTTAAATACTCTTCCAATCCATTTTACTTTTAGATATTTAATGAAAGAAGAGACATGAGTCATGTTAAGCCCACCATCTTCTCTACATGCAATTAGAGTATTACGTTTAACTTTTTCAGTTTTAAAATTCCATATTAAACCATACAAGATTTTATTTAACTTATTAACATAAGTTCTGGAGGGATTTGGAAGGGAGGAAAACAGATGAACAAACTTGGGCAAGATAAGAGTTTTTATAATTGTAACACGTCCAATTAAGGTAAGATCTCGACATGACCAGTACCGTAAAAGTTTATTAATCTGTTTTAGTTTCCTTTCATAGTTGATACGTTCCATGTTTTCTAGATTTAATGAAAACATAATACCCAACAGTTTAAAGTTTGCATTTGACCAGGATATATTCAAGTCAGGGCATATTCTTTCATTTGAGATTTTAAAAATTTCCTATCCAGTACAGTGTAGACTTATGTAAATTTATCTTTAGTCCTGATGCTATAGCGAAATCACCCAATAACCCAACTGCAGCATATAAAGACCGAATCTTACCGTCAAGTAGAAGGTAGGCATCGTCAGCATATTGGCCTAATAAGAATTGGTTTTCTGTTATGACTATGCTTTTTATGTTATTAATTCATTTCAACGATAAGGCTAGAAGTTCTACTCCAATTATAAACATATATGGTGACAATGGGTCGCCCTGACGATAACCTCTACTCAACTAAAAAAAAAAGGTGATAAATGACCATCATTCAGTATACAGCTTTTGGAATCTCTGTAAAAAACCTCAAACCATTTGCATAAAGACTCCCCAAAATTAAAAGATTTCAAAGCCTTGGTAATAAAACTCCACTCAATTAAATAAAATGCCTTTTCGAAATCTAATACAAACAACAGCCCAGACTGATTTTTTTCTTCTAATAATGTCATGATATCATACAGAAGCCTTGTATTATCCCCTGTGAACCTATCCTGCAGTAGCAATCTTGTAATCTACATTTAATAAAGAAATAGGTCGCCAGTTATATTAGGTATCGTCTATCTTTATCTTCCTTAGGGATGCAAGAAATAATTCCTTGTTTTTGAAAATCTGACAATTGTCCCGTACTATAAGCAAAATTAAACGATCTAAGTAAGAAAACCCCCAAGTCCTTCCAAAAAAAAATTATTAAATTCTGCACTAAAACCATCAGACACCGGACTTTTCCTATTATCCATATTTTTCAAACCTTTTGCTATTTCAGAGAGTTTTGAGACCCCTTCACAACTATTCTTATCCGTATTATTTCACTTAATATGATGTTGGAAAAAATGTGAATTTTCTAATTCTGTCAATTCATCATGTTTAGATGTATATAAAATCTTATAAAAGATTGCTTCTGCTTCAATTATCTCCCCTTGATCATCCAGTATATCCCTACTCTCTGTTATAAGTTCAGTTATACTTTTATTTACAAAATGACGCTTTTCTAAATCACAGAAGTATTTTGTTCTCTTTTCCCCATTTTCATACCAGTTTGCTTTTGACCTTAAAAGAAGACCATCTACTTTATTTTTCCTCATTGATTCAAGTTCCTGTTTTTTGTTACTGAATTCTCCCCATAAGTTATCAGTAGGGTTAAGATTCATTTGTTTTTCAAGTTCTTCAATCTCTGATCCTAAATCTTTCTCAAGTTTTCATTTACGTTTTGCTTTTGCAATTGAAGAGGAAATAGAAAGAGAGCGAATTTTTACTTTTAAAATTTCAAAAAATAATTGGTCATTTACCCGCAATGCAATATTTTCAATGTTATTTCTATCACCTTCCACAATATATTCATCGATAGCCTGCGAAATACAATCCTTGTACATAAGTTAAATCTTCTAATAGAGAAGCATTATGTTTCCAATATTCCCTACCACGTTCTACATTACTAAAATTTACATCTAATACTATACATGAGCGATCTGTTCTATAACCAGGTATAATTTTTGAATCTTTTGTTTTTGAAAATATATCTTCTGACACTAAAAAACAATCTAGCCTACTTTGGCGAATAGGGTTTTCTGCCTCCAGGTAAAGTTTCTTAAGTCTGGATAAAAACACCTCCATGGGTCTATAAGGTCATATGTAGAAATTATATTTTTTTATTGCCTCTTGAGATTTAGGGTTATTATTGTGTAAAATGTTGTGTGTATATATTTCTCTGTTCTGTACCGCGTTCCGATTGTCAACAATGTGTCTCTTGTAAACATATAATATCAGATTGTTTCTTTTTTGCCCAGTGAAACACATCCCTCCTCTTATTCCTGTCAGAGTTCAGTCCCCTACATTCATAGACATTATCTTTATACTACCCATTGCTACAGAAGTAGAGCACCCAGTGTCCAGCTAGCCCATCCCAGAGGTACCCACCCACTCCCCTCCCACTATCCGTCAAAATTGCTGTAAAAATGTTGAAATAACTGTAAGTATTGGTTAATTGTAAATTTAACATCTGTTTGACCACATTCACACTTCTTTCATTTCCATACAACACAGTAAAAAAACATAGTTGGTTCAGCATGGTCACTGACTACAATGCATGCTCTGATTTACAAAAGACACTTGTTTTTTAAGACATGCGCCTAAAGCTTCATCAAACGAAACCTATACGTAGCTGGTAGCATATTTGACATTGTGAATAGAGATATACATGTATTAATATATATATATACTATAGTTTATATAGGAAAACTAGATTTTTGAGCATAATTTGTTTAATTTTGATTGGAAACAATAACAACACCCATAATGAAAGAAAAATGTTGACTTACCAGTTACTTTCCTGATCAAAGGAAATCACCAATAATCTTTTGGAGATATCACATAATGAAATCAAAGTAATAGCCTTCTTTTACTCTGCGTTTCTCCTTTCTGGATGATGCACAGTTTCTAAAATATCTCTATTGGCACTGTTATTTACATTCCAAACTACTAATTAGTATTTTTGGATATTATTCATTTCATACCATTTGAAGATGTTTTTAGCAGTCATTTACGAATTAACTCTAATAGGAAGTTGTATTTTTGACCTTCGAAAAGTTTCGCTTAATGTAAAAAGAGCATGTTCTACCTCAATATCCTTTACATTTTTAATCCCCAGTTCCCAATGTATTCAAAGCTGTGACTTTTTTTATTTTCATACATGAAACATGGTATTACCAACATGTATTTGTTTAGTTTTCTTTCAAAACATGATGAAGACCTTCAATTGATATTTAAGAAAGATCCATTCAGAACTTTCCAAGATATAGCGATAACTAACTTTCTTTGTCAATGTCTAAGATACATTTTCAGGCATTTCGTTTTTCTAATTAATTCCAGAATCAAATTACCAAGGGTTATTCGCAAACAAATCTTATTCATTATTTCTAAAAAAAATAAACATCACAAACTTTCATTTTCAAAATTGATGTCAACCTTCTGAAGGGTTACACAGGAAAACATTTCATTTTAGATAACTGTACAGTGTTCTTAGCTTCGCACATGAAAATTTTATCATATTGGTTGTAATTGTGACTTATTTCACCTGCGACCTTTGGTGACCTATATATTGACGTTTAAGATTTGCAAATCAAAATTGACCTATGACGTGTGATGGTCTTTATTTGGCTGTCAAGCATGAGTTTAGTCATAAGATATGGAAATGAGAAGGATATCATTTTAGATGTATATCACATTCTGTCATGCTCACCAGTCCATACAGTCACAAGTGAACACCAAGCTAGAATAACAGGGACAATTTTTAGCCAACCATTATCAGATGGTGGGCTTTTCAAATCGTCCTACATCCGTGGTCCGTGGTTTTGTTTCCTCTGCCGGTCCTTCTTGATTACTGAATGGATCTCTCCAAAGTTTCATATGCAGGTCTCTCCTGGTCCTTAGCAAGGTCTTTGATTTGTTTGAAGCAAAAAACCTATATTTATATTAAAGATGGTCCAGGTACTTCCATTGCCTTGTCCCCGCCGGACACTACCTACACCAAGACAGAGGGAGACACGTTACCTGACATCACTTGTACAGCGGATTGTAGACCAGACTGTACATTTGTCTGGACACGACCGGACAACATCAACTTTACTGTGTCACCTGTGTTGTTATTAGGACAACTGAAGAGGTCAGAACATGGAACGTACAAATGTACCGCTAGGAATGGTGTAGGGGAGTCGACTTCAACAACACATGTAATTGTACATTGTGAGTATAGACATAATTAAAATGCACAAAACACGTCATCTTATTATAGGATTTGAACTTAGGATGGTATTTAGGAAAGAAAAGGGACAGACAAATGCAAAGTTAAAGTGGAACGCACGAAATCGTGTCTAGTATTCACTTGTGTGCCCGAGGGGATCATTAGTGGACTGATTATCAGGTCAGCATACATTTTTTTCTCAATAACACAAATAAATGAATTTAGAAGAGGAACAGCCATTATTCCTTATTGATAATGAAACTGGCTTTGTTACATATATTCTAGAGAGAGGAAGTAAGAGGAGCAATTGAAAATATAAATGGTGTTAATATTCTTCAGATGGACCTGGAGTCAGCATTTCATTTGAACCACAAGAAGATAGTGTTGATGTCGCTGAAAATCAGACCGTCACAGATGTCATCTGCTCTGCCGATTGTAGACCGTTATGTACCTACACCTGGTCTAAGTTAGGAACGAATTACCTGAACCCGTTGAGTCTATCTGTGGCCACGAGGAACAATGCCGGACAATACACATGTAGAGCCAACAATACTGTTGGTCAAGGAACTAGGGTGTGGAACCTTACCGTCAGATGTACGATATTGACTCTTTGTATATTTGACCTGGGTTTTCGATATGTCTTGTGAAGATATATAGGCTAATTTTTTTAATTTAATTTTACATTTAAGTAAGTTTTAATTGAAAGGTTTATACGATAAAGATGTTTGGATTGAAAGCAATTTTCTGTCAGTGTGTAACTTTGTATGCGATTCATATAAAATAATTGTTTAGTGATGTAACCACATATATGCTCAGTTACAGACACGATTTAATACAAGTCCACTTTTGATAGCTGAGAAGATTGATTACTTCAAACTTGACCAATAATGGTACTCTTCTATCCATTTTACATCAGATATAGATCAACACCTTACGCATTGTTTATACGAGTGTTTTATTCACAGTTGCCAGCAACGTCTTTGAAATAATGCCAAACATCTGTGGTATTACATACCTGGCAAAATACTGCTTTATCAGTTATCAGTTGATGGCTGAAATAGAACTCTGAAGTCATTAGTATTCATCATGACTAAGTGTAGATTGTCACAACTGCAATATACCGTCCACAAAAGCAATATGTAAATATGATTACTCCTATAGTTTGGTAATGAACATGCATTTTGTTTCTGATATTATCCAGACCACTTAATTATTTACTCAAAATGTTGAACTTTGAATACGTGCTTCACAAGTGTAACTAACTTCATGTAAAATGACATGTTTAAAATTAAGTCCATGCTTAAATTGTTTTATCATTTTGCTGCATTTCAGTTCCGCCTCGAATTACCGCTCTTGTTTACAGCCAAGGAGATGCTGACGTGAGAGAACATGAATCTAAATCACTGATATGTACTGTGGATAGTTATCCTCCGTCCAAAATACAGTGGCTTTATAAAACCAACAACACCATTCTACTCAACACCCCAAACGTCTTAGACAGTACCTATACCCTGACTAACGCTAAATGTCTGGACACTGGACTGTATACCTGCGTCGTAAGGAACAGCGTCTCTACAACAGCTGTCACCAGGGACATACCTGTCAACGTTCTCTGTAAGTTGTAATTCCTTGTTATCTGAAAGGAAATCCATACTTAGATCATACATGATTCGAAAACATGGGGCTGTATTCTCTTACAACAGTCCAAGTAATTCTTACATTCAACTCAGGTAAGGAATATTCAAGTGAAACTTGGGGGTGATTAAGGGTGATTCATGGAGATTATAACGGATTGTGAATGGAGTGTCAATTTGATAATAACAAACTTCGCTCATGGAAACTCAATAGAGTTGCACTTGAGTGACTGTTGGAGATTGCAGCAATTTTGATTACAGTAAAAACCCAGGTTATGTGGGTTTTTTTAGAAGTTCAGTATAGTTCAACAATGTTAGAAGTAAATGCTTCAACAAAGAGAAATATGTTAACTACGGAGTAAAGGTAGTAGAAAAATATAACATAGTAAAGCTGACAACAAAAATAAACTAAATAGAAAAGTGAACAAAACTCATAAATGACTACATCTGACAAACATAAGACACCAAACTGTGGTTTATATACGCTCCTCTCTCATTACTGTTGCTCTAACTGGTCGCTACTATTGCCGGCCTGGACTAATTAATTACAGCCTAACAGAACAACTATCTGCCTTAGAGATGGGCGTAACATCCATCCCTTCCCATAGAAAACTACTGATGTAATATTAAGTAGCCATGTGTAAAAACTCCATGTTTAAACTAGTCTTTATAACAAGTGAAGTCCTTTTCCACGTCCTGGTTTCAGACTATCTACAGTTCACTGACTTTGGAAAAACCGACCACATGACAGTAAACAACGAAGATGTTACTCTGGTTTCAGAGTGTCAGTTGTCTTAATAGGCCTAACATTGCATAACTACCACTTCGCGTTCGAGGTATAAAAGCCCAAATTTATTTCCTCATCGCTTCATTTTCAAAGCATCAGCAACTACTGCGACAACCCTACAGAACCTCACTAAATCTCCCAAAGAAAAAACACAGCTCAACACACGTGTCTGACTTTTATACCCTATGACCCCAGTGACCTATTTGGACCAAAACTGAAAGTAAAGACAAGACCCAACGACTCGCTCCACCACTGAAGCCTCGACCAATCACAGTGCTTGGCATAACTTGACCACGGCTCATTCTGCAAGATGGCTGGCATAACAACCCAAAACAGACACGATGTCACCCCGAAGCCATAGGCTGAACCCCCAGAGTACTTCTAACATTGCAATTAAGGGTATGTACACCTAGTAAGAGCCAAACCACTACAGGGTCATAAGTAATGAAACATCTAACAAACATTCTAGCGAAATCATGGACTACCTGAACCTGTCTTTATCACACGAGATTAATTTCTTGGCTTCAGGAAATGGATATTGACCGAATTTTTTGGTGCGCACATTATGCAAGGAGAAGACAGGTGGCCATCTTGGATATTTACGTAGAAAGTTTGTTATAGATATTTACAGAGAACTAAAGTAATGATCTTTCTCAAATTTGATTTCTATCTTTCCCTTGATCCTTAATTTAGCTTGTTTGATTTTTGTACTGATCAGGAGTAAAAAATAGCATACAAACGGCCATCTTGGATTTTGATCATGAAAGTTTGTTATCGATACTTCTTGAGAAATGCTGCATACATATTTTTCAAATTTCATGCATACGTTCCTCTTTCATCCCTTGTTGTGCCTGTTTGAATTTGGGACTGATCCTAAAAAACTAAATGGCTGACAGGCAGCAATCTTGAATGTCACCTAATGAAAATTGTGATACCAATTTCTCAAGAAGTACCTGAAGGATCTCTCTCAGATTTCATACATATGTTCCATTTGGGACTAATCGGTGAAAACAAAATGACTTTCGGTTGACCATTTTTGTTTTGGCAGGTAAATATTATCTTCGTTATTTCTGCAAAGGAATGTTCATTTTTTTATAGTTAAGGAACTTGCAAAACAGAGAAGATGGGTGAAGATCTAAACATCGAATAAAGATCAAACTTTAGGTAATTTTGAAATTGATTGAAATGAAGCGAAAATGATGATTAAAGATAAAAGCACAGAGTAGTCGGCTTATGTTTATCTTGAATTAAAATATAGCAAACTTGTTATCATTATATTTATGTACAATGCAGATATTTTTGAAATTCTGTTTTCTCTACTTACTGAGGAATATTGCATCGTATTTCTCAATTATCATGTATAGGTTCCCTAGTTTTGAATTTTGGAGTTTGGAACTGATCCGAAAAACAAAATGGCTGACAAGCAGACATATCAAGTTTCACCAAATATTAAAGATAGTTATATCTTACCCTTAAGAAGTGCTGAATATATTTCTCTCAAATGTCATACGTATGTTCCTTTTTGATCTCTAATTGTTCCCGTCTGATTATGGGACTGATCAGAAAGAACAAAAATGCTTGAAGAGAACCACCTTTGATTTTGCAGGTATTGATCACTATTTCTGCAAAGGAAGGTTCAAACGTTTTATCATTAAGATTCAAACAGAGAACAGAACAGAAAAGAAGGGAAAAGATCCGAATCCGAATAAAGATCAAACAATGTAGGGTGCACAGATGCCTCTGTGATCGATTGTTTCTATGTATGTTAAGATTTTATCGATTATCTCTGAATCAAAGCATGTGTCCTTGAAGATTCATTTTACAGTTGTACATCAGTGATTGAATAGAAGGGTAAAATACTTCAGATTATTAACATGTAATGTGCCCATCCATCTTTTAATTTTCTTGTTCAGACTCTGCCTCCAACACTACGTGTCATGGTAACTTCATACTTCGGGAATAGGTTCACTTTGATGAGGTGGTGTATCCACAATCAAAAAAAAAGTTTGCACTAGCCAAACACTTTGACCTTTGACCCTATATCAAAGAAAAATTTTGCCGTTGTCTTGGCTTTACCTCAAGCATCACTAATCACTATGCGTTGTTTAAGGTGTCAAAAGTATGTCAATCTGACCTAAAGTTTGATATCTGACCTACATCAAAGAAGGATAGTTCGCTTTGATAAGCCGATGTATCGCGGATCAAAGTTGGTCACTCTGATGCAAATCGATAACAAAATGACATCAGTCATCTGCAAACTTCTGTCAAATATATTTGCAGTAGAAACAGAGACTTGTTGAATAGCATTTGTCTGTCAAACATTCATACCTAGAATTAATCCCTACATAAATCTACCATCTGTGTATTCTTTGTGTATAATTTTACATCATGTGGGTGACTATAATTCAATGTTGTTGTCAAACTGAATTATTTTTATTGTAGGTAAGCCCCGACCACATCCACAAATTGATACTTTGAAAATGAAGTTTGGCTTAGGAATCTCGGAAAACTTGACAATTCCTGCTATGTTCTTAGCAAATCCAGAGCCATTTTTCAATTGGACATTTCAAAGCTCCTCTTGTTATCTAGCAACTGACCTTGACAATGGCACAAAGAATTTTGTTATCACCAATGCTTTTGTGATGAAGAATATGTCTGCTTTGTCATTAGGGACCCGTGTGGATATGCAAGAACATTGGTATGGATTGTATAATGTTATGGCAACAAACAGCGAGGGAAGCGGACGGATAACCTTTACAGTGGTACCTCAAGGTATCATTATTGGAACTCAGTTTTGTATAAATCGTGAGGCTAGTATCAGACCCTCATTGTATTGAGAAAAATCACTTTCAAATGCTTCTTAATTTGTAGGAAAGGCAAGATATTTTATCAGATTTGCTCCGAAGTATCTTTAGGTGCATTAGCCGTAGGGGGCTCAATTGTATAACAATGGTAGGTCTGACTTTCATGGAGACAGAAGGGCAGGGTCAAACAGGGAAAATAATCAACTCTGCTTCAGTTTTATGAAAGTATGGTGTTCTTTGAATACTTATATTATCTTGGACAATAGAAAGGTGTTTTGTAAGGAAATAATAGCAGATGAGAAAAATAGTTTTTCTGATTATATTTTTTTCACCTGTGCTGTTTTATGGTCAACTGATCCGAGGGGGCAATATGACATTTCGCTATCGTGCATCGTCCTTCGTCATGCTTAATCATTTTCTATAAAACCTTTAATATCTTTCATAACTTGGTGCATTTCAACAGGATTATGTTTGCTCCATCCTATGGCGAGGGTAAAGATTTGAGAATCCTTCATTTAGATTAGAATCTTACGGAGTGAGGGACAGGCCCCAAAGTGTGAGGTGATGAAATCATATTGAAAACCACGTTACTTCCTTTCTACTCTAGTGGATTTCAACTAGTTTTGGCATGATTCATTAGTTAGGGTAGTCGGTTAATTCTTGAATTCAGAAAGTTGATTCAATCCCTAGGGATATAAAGTTTGGGATCCAAAAGGAGAAGTAAGGCGATATTTTGTTTCAAAATGCTACTCTCACATAATGCTCTGATGGCTTCAAACCAAATGTGGTCTAAACTATAATTGTGGGTAGGAAATCATTCCTTGAATTCAGAACATTGATTCGACTCCTAGGTACTTGTACAAATGCGATTAACCCATTGTATAAGGTCACGAGGAAATGCCTCGGGTTTTTCACTCAGTATTCTTGCACTTTATAATCAATATTCTTTTTGTCGACTGATTGTGTTCATTTTTGTCTTCGTTTTACTTACATAACTTTGATGTTAGACTTTATTGACATGTCAGAATCCTTAATCTAATAACAAGATCTACCTGACGGTTTTTTGTTTTTAATGCTTACATCACAGAAAAACCTGGTTTACCAAAAAGTTTAATTGCTGGCTGTACAAAGCCTAATGTTGTTGAAGTATCATGGGTTGATGGAGGAAACTCGGAGTTTTATCAGGTCTTGTTTAGTGTCGACAAATATCTGAACACAAAAGAGATTTACCCTGTAACAATACCAATGAAAGCAGATGGAAATCAGACATACAGTCAAAATGTACACAATCTAGAGGGAGGACAAGTATACTTCTTTAAGGTTATCGCATACAACACTTTTGGAAACAAAACATCACTTGATGCTGTCGGATGCACCGTTCAGAAAAGTAAGCCATTAACAAACGACATTTGCTGTTTCTTATTTTTGATATTGAAAAGAAAAATCAACTTTGAAATTCCGCCATTTATTCTTGTAAAAACTAGAAAGAAAATATCAAGTTTCAATTGTAATACATGACCAACACAGATTAATAGTCGTGGATGTACTTGTTTACAGATACGTGTACATATATAGTTTTTTCTACTTCTCCTCATGACATATATGATGCATAAAAGTGTGTTTAAGATCCCTGCTTTATTACATCACCAATCCCTTAACCATTTGGCTTTTTTACCGCGTCATCCCACACTAAAATTGCGAAATCAACATGATGCAACAATGTCCTTCGTGCAGCCACTGTGATATATTTCACGATAATTATGTCAATGCACACTTCGTATCTTTTAACTAGAATTTCTTTCATTTTTTATTTGAACTAGCTCTTTCCGGTGGTAATGACAGCATGTTAACAGCAGGAGTTGTTCTTATGGTCATAGGAGTACTTACGCTGTTGTCAAACATTGGACTCGGAATATATATTCGACGTACGTATATAGATAAGACATCTACTGTAATTATTAATCCGAAACCAATATATATGCAAAGATAAAATCATTGCAAAACATGTCATATACATGTTTCAATTAAACGATAAACAAGAATGATTTTTTTTTTCAGGAAATAGACGACTACCGTTTATGTAAGTAAATAGTGTAAACGTTGAATTAATTAATTGGTCTCCATATTAAAACATGTATTTAGGAGAATAGTTGAAACAAAATGTCATCTGGATTTATGCTTATTTATACATACTTTTATATAACATATTTGGTGTTTGTGATATTAACCACTGTTTCATGATAAACGTTTCCTTTTTAAATGCAGTCCACAAATAAAACAGCCATCTTTAATGTTAACAGTCTTCAAACATACTTTTCTTGTTTTGACGATTTTAGCAAAGGTCATCGTCATGAACAAAAGGAATTCCAGAATATACAGCTATCGGAGCAAGGTAATATCAAAGAGCATTTGGGGATACAAAATCAAGAAACGAAGTTAAATGTGTTCTAAATGTTTTATTTTTAAGTTTACATCAATTTAATTTCATCTCCATAACATTAGCAAACAGATATGGCCGTTTACAATTACCAACATGGTTTGTACTTGGCATCCAAAACTTTATACTAATTTATTTCATATTGTTTTTCATTCACAGATGTGACTTCTCAAAGTGATGATGGAAGGTAAGATTGTTCGGACAAGCGTATATCCTACATCCCTATGCTTTGATCAATCATTTTGTTAATAATAAATTAAATAATGTTAAAATTCAGTGAATGTGTTAACTTACGTTTAATGCTACTTCCTTTCTATGCAGATCTCCATATCAACAACTCAATACAGACACTATTGGTAAGCCGTCAATATACTCTGAAATCGGACAGCATGACAATCAAGGTAAGACATATTAAAATCTTATCAAAATTGAATTTTTATTTTGTTTTGATACTTTTGATAATTATACAACGACAAGTTAAGATATCAATATATATCTATCAATTACTTTCCTACTTGTTTAAGTAAAACGGTCCACGTTATGTTCTAATAAACACAATGTAAGTACACGTTTCGTTGTTTAACATTGCATCGTTAGAAAAATATGTAAAAATTGTATCACATATTTGAATGATAATAGTTCCTGTTTAGATATCAGAGATCCGGTATATTCATTTTAGTACAGATATTCCAGATGATGCTATTTGTATTTCACAGGTTACCAAAATGAATCAGTCGAAAGCAATGATGAAGGGTAGGTAAAAAATAATAAGGCGTTATTGCAAGATACTGTATAATTGAAATATAAGCGGTAGTAATATATAATTCAGGAAACAGAAAAACAAAAAAAATAAATAATATTCGTAATCTAGATATTGGCAATTAGTGACAAACCCACGATTTTAGCTAGGTACACAAAGCAATTAATCTATAAATATATATCGGTTGAATATTAAGCATAAGAACTCTTATCAAAATTTCAAAACATTCTCTTAATGCTACTGTAATTGCATATTAAATGGAAGTTCCGCAATACAACTGTCTGTATCAATTTTGTTATTTGTGATGAACACAAATTAGAAAACCTGTTCATTATCTGTATAGTTGAGACCCTTAGCGCTCTTTCGTTTTATCAAGAATTCATATATGCTGTAATAGCCTATTTTTCATTTGTTTAACATGGGTGAAATTTATATTTGGGTCCGACCAACGTTTGAATTAAATTTTTTGCTAAATTTCCCGCTTAATCTGTTGTTAAAATGTAACCATTTGAGTATTACATGTATATTTGGCATTCCGCTGCAAGATTTCTCATTATATGCTTCTAATTTGCATAAACAGAAAGTACGAATCGCTAGAAGGGCGCTCGAATCCAAACGTATATGAAGAGCTTCAAAGTACAACTTCAGGTAAGTGATATCTCAATGTTATATAGATTTATCTGGTTTGAATACAATTCTTCCTTAACAGATATATAAATCAGAAAACACTTGGTTCGAATAATGATATTTTCGAATCTGTTTTTTTCTCTTTTTTTTCATTATTAGTCATTAAAGGTAAACGCTTGCATAATCATGATTCTAAACATATGCATAGTAGTGGGTCCATATCCCTGAAACCATTTCTCTTGAATGAATATACATTTTGAGTTCAGCTTGAAATGATTTTTTTGATAACTCTAATGTTATAATTAACATATCCTCGATGGTTTGAAGGAATTTCAAGACATCAGGTGATATATCATTTTCAATATTCAGGGTTTTAAAATGCTAAGTTTAATATATTCTTCTTTCTTGAGCCATGTAATATTTTATGAATAAATGAATAAATGGAAATAGATATTACGCATGTATATGACAGAACACGTTTGACTCGCTTGCAGGTAGCAGAGGGACATATGTCAATACCAAAATCACCAGTGACCATAAACGTTGATACTGCATTAAGAAATCAAACCAACGTAACATTTTCGTTACATGCGAATTACAACGCTAAAGAATGAATTAAAAACAATCTTTGAAGATGCTACTTTTTCTGTTGGGAATGTGCGGGCTATACTAACGGAAAAAAGAAACTGTGCATCACTAGAATTTAATTATCTCGGAAACTACCGAACGTTTCTCAATAAAATTTCATGGGCATATTTATTGTGTCATACCACACGCTATCACGTGATTAGGTCACCTACCTCACGTGCATTTTGCGACCTACCGAGCAATATGATCAACACCTAATTGGGAGGCAGTACACGTGTCAGTGAATACCTATCGTTATTTTTGTGTCAATATCCCTCTGTGGGTACCATATGAACCAAAAAACATCCTAGTTTCAAGAAAAAGCGATTTCTGATAATGCCACGGTTGACGGAAAATGAGCGTTTGCGGATAATCGGCATGCTTGAGGCAGGAATAACCCAAAATGACATCGCACAGCGTTTCAATGTCCATAGGAATACCATACAGTCTTTAGCAAGATGTTATCGGCAATATGGAATCACTCGGGATAGACCGCGTTCAGGACGTCCGCGTGTGACGTCACGTCACATCAACATGACAATTACATACGGTCAACGCATCTAAGGAATCGTTTCCAAACGGCCAGTTTAACGTCTAGGAACATTCTTGGGCTAAGAAATATCCACCAAAGAACCGTCCGTAACCGATTGAGAGAACACGGAATCCGGCCGCGACGCCCTGCCATACGTCCTGTATTGCAGCAACGTCATCGCCAAGCAAGATTAGCGTGGTGCCGTAGGCAAATCCGATACACCCAACGTGAATGGACGGGTATTTTATTCACGGACGAGTCGATATTTCACTTAGACAGCATTGACGGCTGTAACAGAGTGTATCGCCGTGTTGGAGAACGATTCCAAGATGCCTGTGTCGTAAAACGACGTTCTTTTGGTGGTGGCAGTGTTATGGTCTGGGGAGGGATCACTACCCATCGCAGAACTCCTCTTGTGTTAGTCCAAGGTAATTTGACCGGGATTCAATACAGAGATGCTATCATTCGACAACATGTTGTGCCCTTCATACGTGCCCAACAACGTCAAGTGACTTATAGCAAGACAATGCCCGTCCGCATGTTGCTCGTGTTGTTACCGACTACTTTAACCGACAGAACATCAATGTTCTTCCATGGCCAGCCGTCTCGCCAGATTTGGCACCAATCGAGCATGTGTGGGACGAGATGGAACGTCGTCTACGTCAGCTGCCTAATCAGCCAATGACGTTAGATCAACTCGGCCAAGACTTGATCAGAGTGTGGAACAATCTTCCCCAGCACTTCCTCGGCACATTAGTTAGCTCCATGAGACGTCGTTGCCAATCTTGCATTGACGCAAACGGTGGACACACTCGATATTGATATTGGGAACTCGGTTTTGACTCCATAAGGATTTGAACCCCTGTGAAATGAATTGTTACTCAAATCAATTTGAAAATCCATATTGATTTTGCTGTAATGTAATGTAATTAATAATGCAACATGCACACTTTTAACCTAATATTATAAGAATTATAGATTTTATAAACGTTTCTCCGGTGCACAGTTTCTTTTTTCCGTTAGTATATTAAAGTATTATCTGATAGCATGTGTTCTGGACCATTGGAATTCTTTTGCGACGTCAGCGACAATTCCAGTAACAAAGACGATAAAACACTAAATCAACAGGATTAGTCACAATAATAATACAGATCAATTATACCATAACGATTGAAATATTCCTTTAAAAGATGGTGTTTGGAATTGATGATATTATCGGCTTCAGAGAGTTACATATTCAAACTTGTGCTACGATAGTTTCTCTTACCTTTGGATTGTGCTAAATGGAAATAATGCTGTGTGATATAGGACGCTGGACTGGTGACTGAAGCGTCGCTAGTTCGACTGTTGGTACAAGCAACTTGTATCCGTGATTAAGATACTTCACTCTGATCATTCCAGTTGTTTCCGCCGTAAGTTAATATAAACTGTATATGTTGATGCAATAAAGCGAGATACATATTCATTTATCATATTTTATTCCCTTTAACTCCTAAATGAAGAGTATTGAGTTAATCGGATGTAACGAAATCAATACAATATGTAAGGCATTAGTCGTATCACGACATATCTTCCTTTATTCAAACCGGTCAAAATTACATTTAGCATGCCATACGGTCGTATGTATTGTCAACGTACAACAGAGTCGTGCGTTTTAACTGAATATAACCGATTACTGGGTTACTTTAGCCTTTTTATTTTCTTTTATTGTTGTATGATTTTAAAAGCTGAAAAGTGTTTTGGTTTTTTTTTTCTGTAAATGCAAGTACATATATTGTAAAAAAAATGTAACATTATTTTAACTTGGAATACTCTGATGAGATATAACGTATTTTTATTGTATTTGTATTGTATGATATCTGAGCTGACTAGATTGAATATTTTACTGTTATTGACGATCTGGCAGCTTATTATGGTATGTCTGGAATGTCTGTCATCACATAGATTTGACGTTTTTCAACATTAAGAGACAAACCTATTATATTCGGCATATTTGTCACATATGATCAAAATTAATCTCTTACTTTGACCTTTGACACAGTTATTGGTTTGAACGTTTCCTTAGAGTAGTTTAGAGGATTTCTTCAAATTTCAAACAAAGTTGTTATTATACAGCTTTATATCTTATGAGTAAAACATTTTGGCATGGTTACGGTGCTTTTTAATCCGTTTATTAACAAAATAACTGCCTAATTGCAAAGTATATTGCTGTATATCAATGCAGTAGTTTTATATACGACAATATCAACCAATATTTGCCAAAGATACGGGACATAGACTGTTTTAAAATCCCATCAAATAACTCAAATTTTCGTAATCAGATTTCACTATTAGCTATTTTTCAGTGATTTGTTTAGCAAAATACGGACCAGGACGAAATGAGTCAAATATCTGTCAGAGTTTCGGAGCCTTAATACGATAAAATGGTATTTTTCACTTTGTTTTCTTTGTTCCCATCAAAAACATTGTTTATACTGCCACATGACTAAGAATGAGTTTGCTGTTGAAAGATATACTGGAACTTGATATCCTTATTTGTTTCCATTAAAACATTTCTATACCAAGGCGTGAACCAAATGATGCCCATGTACATTAATATATATAAGGGAAATATTGGATTTAGGCGAATACCCATCAATATTTATACAGATGTTGATTTTAATATAATTTAAACAGGCTTTTTTTCCCCACCATCAACTGTCAGGTTCCAATAGAGTGTGCTGAATTGCTCTTAAATGTAGAGTAATAATTCGCTGTTGTGTCTTCCTAACCACGTATATATATAATGTATGAGGGGGAAACACAAAGTGCAATGGGAAATGACTTATTATATATTTCAGTAGTAATTGAGAGGGCCGTGGTGATAGCCAACAGACTGAGACAGTTAATGGATTAGCAGGGACGTTTGACCTTAGGTCAATGGTGTTGTCAATGCTTCAATGTTCTACTCAAGTACGCCTTGTAATTATGTATATGGTAGGGGTATGATTAGTCGAGGCACGGAAGGTAAGGGGAGTTCCTCTATGTAGAACAGACGTGTGTGGGACTGTCTACGGATACTTAGCTAAAGGTTTCGTAGGTTTTGATCTGGACTAATATAGAGTGTATTATATTAATTGTAAAACAATATCTGTAAGTTGTTATGTATTTCTACTGACTCTGTTGATATATACCCATCCGGTTACGTTACAAATTGTTATATTTTGTAAACATCTTTCTTTATACATATCAATTATCAAATAAAACTCTTACATACCATAGTAGATAACAAACAACGCTACTATTCAATGTCAGATTTCATCATACTTATGTTGTTATTATTGCTTCTGTATACGTCCCTTAATGTCGTGCGTAACATGTGCTTTTCTTTTTCATGTTGTCATTCTCATTTTTATCCGGTCGCAGGATATTTCATTGCTTGAAAACTCAAGGAGTGTGCATGATTAACAGACTTTTCTGTTGTAGTTTGGTTACGATGGGAACATAAAGCGTCTTTCTGATTGATTTTTCAATGAAATTTGTACGTAAGGGTATTGTGACCAAGCGAACAACAACTATTAGTTGAATTATATTATTTTGTAGAAGTTGGCCATTTCATTGCATCATATAAGTTGATATTTTAAATATCAATTTGAATTTGTATTATGACACACATGTAGCATACACAACTATGGAATCCGTTTCCTGATTACACCATCTGGTAGGTCTTTCCTGGCCGATGATGGACAAAAACTGGTATTTTGGATTATGAGGAAAGGATATATGACTTAGTCGTCAGATTGTTTACAATCGTGGTTGTATGGTATTTGTATACCTAGCGATATTTTTAACACTTACTCATAATATCATAAAAAATATACATCTGTATATATACAAACAACGATAAATGTCATGTCTTTATAACGATACCCAATATCACTTAACAATAAAAACTTTTTTGAAAGGGAGGTTTGAGTCTTTTTATTTGCAGTCTTGATTCCATTTCATATTTTACAAACCATCACGAAAATACCATATGCGAGGAGAATCATTATCCAAACTCAAGTTAAAAGAAAAGAGCAAAATATAAACAGAACCAAGATTAAGATCGTGACTCAAGGAGATGAGTGACTCCAACATTTTCTAACACATCTTTAAGATTTGTAGTATAATGTAAAGAAGAACATGTTGTTTAACATTAAATAAGGACAGTACGGAGTGTTTGGATAAGGTGGACATAATTGAGCAGCTCCTCAACCAAATTGCATTCCAATAAGATGCCGTGTTGCTTTATCTTCCAATACGAATTATACGCGATTTGAACGCATACGTCGTATTCTGATACACCTTCCGTTCACATGTAGGATTTATCAAGGCCACGAACTGAAAATCATAACATGTTATCAAACATCCTAACCATATATTAAATCTAACTACTGTGTTAAGCCCAACAGTCCGTGTCAATCCGTCTTTCTTTATCGAGTCAAATAGTAACTCGAAAATCAATACCAGCATTGTTAAAGTTACGATTTTAGAGTGCATTAAATTCACTATTTGTTTAAAAGATAAATATAGCGGTAGCTGTGCAAACACCATTCATAAATCAGTATACAAGTGTATGCACACAAAGAAGAATATCGACAAAACAGTCTGCTCTCCAATATGTTACCTGTAGCTGTCGAATGTTTTACCTGTTGCTGCCTAGTATGTAACCTGTAGCTGTCCAATAGGTTAAGTAGAGCTGTCCAATATGTTACCTGTAGCTGTCCAATATTTTACCTGTAGCTGTTATACAACTACGACATGCGAGGTTATCAATTCTATAGATGTCATTCTTTAATTCTACATTGCTCTCTCGTGGCTTTTCAATGTAGATGTTGTATTATGATTTGATGAAAATGGATGAACATATTCTAATGTTCTAATTATATTTGCTTCATTCATTTCCTCTTTGCAGTAAATGATCTTAAGCTTTAGTAGAGACCATACAAATATCCTTATATGAAGAGAGCCTTTTTTTAAACAAAGCAAATCCTTCCAGTCAAAACAAACGTGTTAAGACAATCAAAGTTTGTCCAACTTATTCTTAATATACAAATCTTAAAATGCACATAGCCAGGTATTATTAAATTTTGTGAAAGTTCAACGTTGTTTACTAAAACATTTTTAAGTAATCTGAATATAAATGTTTTGTTTTACAGGCACCAAATGCTATTTTAATGCTAATACTTTCGCTCTCACCCCACCGGACACTACCTACACCAGGACAGTGGGGGACACGTTACCGGAGCGGACATCACTTGTACAGCCGATGGTAGACCTGGCTGTACCTTCGTCTGGACACACCAACTCACACGAATAATTCTTTTATATGATATCATCTTTTCTTGTATCAAAGATTAAATGTATTGCATTCACGTTAAATATCACATGATCATATTTTTTTGCGGTCTTGTCAAAGTAGAAAGACATCTTAATCCATGACTTCCACATGTGATTATTTCCGGATAAAGAAAGAGAGGTCATGTACTTTATTGGAACGGTTCAATATGTTTATCTATAACAATCATCAGTTGATTTATTTTCATATCGACACACGGTAATAAGCCATATAAATTGATGTTTCTACAGCTCATAGCGCTTCGATGAATAAATGTTATCCATACTGTTATTGACAAGATAAACGTTATTCTGAAGTAAAGATTTTACAAACTTTGGTGGTTATATGTTGAATACACAAAAAAAACACTGAAGAAAACAGCATTATGGATCGGTTTTACGTCGGATGAAGAAGTATTGTGACATGAATTTGAGGTTCTTCTAAGTGGTGTAATTATCTCTACTTGATTCCCTACATATTACATTTACAAAACGAGATTTAAAATTGCTTCATAGCGAGTAAATGTTTTCAAAAATATTAAAACTAGTATGAGGAATATATATGATAGGAAACGAACGACATATCTTCTTTATTCAATGACAATTGCCCACATTAGTTTCTGCCTGTATTGTTTTATTTACACTCAGCTGATCAATTTAATGATACGTGCCATTTTGGACAGAACGACTTTAAACCAAAGTTCGCTCAATGTCATATGTATTATTACAGGCTTGAAAACATGGATAATGTTAACATTCAGCTTTTGAGATTTCTAACAATTTCACTGTTGTAACAAGGAATAAAATTTCCTTATCCACAGTATGACATCACAGTCAATTTCTGATTGACTCACCCGATGAAAAACACTCCAGGGCGTATACCACTAGAGAGATACAAAAGAAATTCCTTGATAAATACATCCATTTGTTGTTGAGGTAGGAAGTAGCGGTACGACAGAACTAATTGATAAAGTCAGATTCCCATGACCTCCACTTTGTACTAGTCTTCATATGGTATAATACTGTGTATTTTCTAATCATTACCACACACCGTCCCGGTAGTTGGTGATGACTATTTTTTTTTATCTCTTTACCTACATACGTTGTGATGGCGTACGTTCCGTCAGGTGTTCGCATATTTTGACCCTGAAATGGAAATAATATTCGACTTTAATGCAAATACAACATTTCGAATAACGACGTATTTATGAATGTAGGGAGCAATAAAATCCGGATTAATTCATCGCTACCATTGTATTAATTGATTACATTGGTAAAACTGTACTAACCGATACCACGAATTTTATTAAGATTGCAAAAAATAAATAAATAAATGAATAAAAATCAAAAGTTCGTATATTTTTCCCGCCAGAAACTCCAACTGGCTTCCCTAAAATGTACTACCTGATTTAAGACATTCTTTCTGAAACCAATGTCAGAAGAATTATAATACTAACGAAATGTTATGAAATGAATAGACTGGTTGTTTTGTGTCGATTTTTAAAAGGTGTAAACATTTTCATTTCGGCGTCATATTTTTAAAATAAAAACTATATAATATCTACTATCAACTCATCAAACATATCTCTTTATCTAAATTTGTGTTAAAATATATTATATTACAATCTTTTTGCAAAATCCAGCTCTAGATATATCAACTTTCCTGTCAGTAGGCGTGATCCATTAAGACCAAACTTGAACGCGTATTACATTCAAAGGAAATATCCTTCTATTTATAAAAGTTGCATGATATATGGATGTTCATTAGTTCTGAAGTAGTTAGCTCAACCTGATTTATCAAACTTTGCAAAAATACAGAGATGGCTAAATTAAATAACAAAACAAGTTAATTTGGCAAATCTGACCACTAAAACCAACCTACCGACAACTGTTAGTTCTTCATATTCTTGTTTAAATGGATTTTCTTTCAGCGATTCGTAGTTGTTTCTGTAAACATAACATTGAGACAAAGCATGTTTTAACAAAAATTGTCAATTAGTGTTTTCAGATAAGTTCTTGACGACATGTAAAACACAATACATCAATCGACATTGTCTAATAGTCTTAGGAAATGTCGCGTGATAAAGTCCGATAAACGATACCAAATAATTATAATTCGGTTACAAATCATTATATACAATTCGTAACTTTTAATAATAGGGGAACTGGTATTTATAAAATTCACAATCCCTTTAAAGGTGACAGCAAAACGAAACATTATGATAAATAAGTATTTATTGTGTTTTACCTGGATTTAATGTGAAGTGATCTTACCTTTCCTGTTCAATACTGACATCAATGTCATCTACAATCATAAAGAAGTCATTTTAATTGCATCATTTATCAATCAGGAAAACAAAAAATGATAGTTGGACAATATTTACTATAAATATCATAATTGTGATATGTAAATGAAATGTACACTTTATCTTATTGTTTTAAAGCAAATGGAGTGTAAAGTAACGATTACGATGTGGTTGAAATTCCTTCCAAAAATATCATCTACGTTACGGCATTTAATCTGAGATATATTAAATATCTAATGCACAAATGCAAGGATGATTTAATTCGTTAAACGTTCGATTAGAGTACGCACCTCCGGAAAGGCGCTCGTATGTAGAAGCTGGCTGAATTTCGCACGGATTCAGATCCTGGTAATGGGACTGACTAAGGAGGGTGTAAAATAGATTAATAATGAATATCGGATGTATATGATAGTACCGTGATATATTTGCATGACTTTTAGAGAAGTATACAAACTGTTTAAAACCTACGCTACAATTACAATATCCAGTGTACTTATGTTTTATTTGATGCGAGTAATTTACAAAACATAAAACATTGATCACTTTAATAAGTTAAGGTGTAGATTACTGAAATTACCACTGTGTGAACGTTCACTTTCGTGTTACATTTTGATTGTTCTGGTATTTTCTAATATCAGGCCTCGACGTTTAACCTACTAACAGTGTCACTAAAAGAATATTTACTAATAGTACATTGATATATATTCCCAGTAAAACTGTATCGGAAATTCGATAACTTTGATGTACTTTGTTCTGACATAATTTGTCTATCGCTGTTTATAGTTACATCAGCATTGGCCTTTGATTTTTTATTTTTCTGTTGTACACATTACATCTTATCATTATGTGACATTTCAGAATGTTTTGCATTCTATATTATGAAATGACATAAGAATGAACGAACAACAGAATTACTTGCGCAAAACGCATTCAGTAAAGTAACACTATAATAAAGCATTTACAAATGTGTCCATACCTGTCTTGATCACGATCTTTCACCATCGCTTAAAAGTAAAAAGAAAACAATGAGATAACACAATGAAAACAAAGTGAATCTGTGAAAGAATAGTAATATTTAAGGTAATGTAATAGATAAAACAATGAATGATAACACGTGATTGATATATTTATACCAGTCCGTGAAATGTTTGTATGGTAATTGGAGCAATAACACTGAATTCAATTGTCTCCTTCAATGATTCAATATAATAGAGTATGTACAATACACGTTGAAATGATAAGATGAAGTAACAGAAATATCAACTCTAACTTATTATATAGGGAACTTATTGGTAAGAAAACAACTCTAATCAGATATGAACGAAGATGACTACAGAAGTAAATTGATTCCAGCGAAGTTCTCTCTCAGAATATATAAGAAAGTTATCTAACCTCCCTCGGGCACGGCGACCTGTTTCATTTCTTGTCCACTGTGGTGTTGAAGGTTGTCTCTCCTCTGATGACTGAAAAAGATAAAACAAATATAGTCGAAGGGTATTGCTTACTCCAAACAGTCACACTCCATTGTATCTTCGTCCTTTACATTCAGTTTTTTTCATTTGCTACAATTACACAAAAACGAGGTGTTTGATTTAAAATATTAGATATTGTCACACGAAAGCATATGAGAAGTAGTAAATTTTACATCATTTTTGCGTTTTTGCGTCAATCATATTGATTAGAAATGAAGATGATAAACCCGTTTATTTTATGGCATATCATCTCGTCTTATATTATCCTACTTCTTTCACTCAATATCTGTTTCTTTTGTAGCATCCCAATTAGGCAATCGCAAGTCTTAGGGGTTATTCAACATTTGGTTGAAATATTTGACGGGTATCATTGTACTGGCTATAAGGTAAAAGGTAGCAGAACACTGGTTCCATACCGTCTGTGATAAAAAAGTAGAGAAGTACTGCGTGTACTACTGAATAATTCTCAAGAAAGAAAGTGCAAATTCAACTTTCATACTATAATGTGAATACCGCGATTCTATTGTTCCTATCTTACCATCCTGCCGATGATCGTCTATCTGTAACATACACATCAAAACCAGAACATAGTCACACATAAAGAAGTAAAACATTAATAGGTACGTAGTTTATTTTGGTTATACTTTATCCGATTTTACCTTTGTTAAAAAGTGTTATTCACTTGTGTGTCTTCTGTTACATCTTTAAATTATAGAGGAACATTCAATGAATGAAATAACTGTATACAAATGCGCTTCATTTCATAGATGTTGGTTCATCAAGCAGGCAATTATCCTTTAGGCATACTGTGATACTCACTTATTACAATGCTAAAAACGACCGCCGCTACAAATACAACACTACAGAAGACAGACACCGAAATCAGCGCAGTTCTAGTGGAATGTAGTTCTTCATTACATTTCTCTGTGCCTTTAAAATATAAGGCGAACGAGTTCAAATTAGTGTAACGAACAAACATTTAAATATATATCAAAATATATAATGTGCCCAAGTGAATTAATACGAAAGAGTCCTTTCTGCAAAATATGTATCCTTACATACCTATTGTTTTAATCTTATCTATCATATATCACATTAGAATTTGAGCAGAAATCTGGTACGTATAATATAAGAAATACCTCTACTAAAAAGTCCAGGGAAACGAGAATTGGTCAATACGATGTACTCAACCTCTTTATGATTATCATAAATAAATGTGTATTTTTTGGGATATTTCGTTAAAGGTAATGTTTATATATCCGATATCGTATGTAATTTTCACTCCAATGTTCAATGTTAATGGTATCAACTTACTACTGGTTGAAACGGTGATGAATATCTGATCACTCTGGCCAATGTCGTTTTGAGCATGAATTCGGATACTGTAAACCGTGTTCTCTTTCAGTCCATCTATCTTATATGACATGACGGATTCCAGGTTATCTGGAATTGCGTTCAATTCAGTGTAATTTTTGCTGACGTCAGATTTGTAGTCAATTACAAACGACTGAGTCACTCCTCCATTTGAACCCGGAATCCACTGCACTGTGATACTACTTCCGGTTACATCTTTTTGTAAAAGGTAGAGAGGAGGTGACGGTCGGTCTGTAAAAGCACGTGCCTTAATTTCAATAATTTCTGGATAATGTTCGATGAGCACTGAGTTTGCTTTTTTACAGATAAACAGAATCTGTTACCTGAGCCCTGTTACCCGAAATCGTTTTCATATTCAATTCATTTTAAATATATTTCTTTACGTTTAACGTGATAGATTTATCATTTAATAATGATATAGATAACATTATTACAAATAGCTTGTCACGCATCAACATGGCGTCCATTTTAATCAATCGAACAGCAAGCTGATTAGGACAATATGCTAGAGAACGAAAAATTGGACTGAGAGAACGCATCCGCTATTATTATTTCATAAACGCATTTTGAATTATACACAGACATACTTTTAAAGTAAACATACTACTGAAATAAAATAAAGAAAAATATGCTTACAACTTCCCCTAGAAAGTGTCTTATTTTGTTTTTTTCAATCGTCAAAATATTCATGTAAATGTATGTTTGTCACTGTAGAGTCTGTTTACTTATATCGGTTTATCAACGAGTGCTTTGATATTTTACATCTTTCATCAATTGTTTCCTTACCAAATGCACAAGTGTTCCTAATATTCACCTGTTTTGATCAGAGCTAAGGTGTGGTTTCTCGTTCCAAAACTATTTTCAATCATCACCGTGTAGTTACCGTAGTCTACATCCATGATATTCCTGATTATCAGTGTAGCAACATAACCTTTGACCTGTACATCGACACCATGAAATGACAGTAGGAGAGTCCTCTGATCTACAGACGTGAATGATCTGCCAGCGGGAAGTGATCCATCAGAACCTCCCGTGGTCCAGGTGACAGTATCTGGACTTACTCCTGGTCTGCTGTAAAATTCCACCTCCAAAGTGACATTGTTCCCTATCTTTTCCTCTACCACTGTAGTGTTGGTAATAATCCCAGGAGGAGCTTCAATATATCAAAGTAAAATAATCACCAATAACAACGACAGATCAATCAGACACAAATACCACAGCAGTTAATACGTCGTCATGTGCTTATTTTGTACGTGCACTAGAATGAAATCCTATCTTGGAACGCTTGACAAAATGATTTTTTTTTCTAGAAAAATGGAGCTTGTAATCAACTCCATACCACCCATAAAACAAAAATGTAAAAAAAGACAAAAGGTTGAATTGATGTTTCCTTTCTTTTCTTTTAAATGAAATGTTTAGCACAACTGGAAAATCACCTAAATGATTCCTGATCGGAATCGGGGAAATGTCTCGAGTTGATAAATGTTCGTTTGGTTTGAATTTTCATATCTGCATCACATAAACAGAGAGGTTCTTACGAATGATAACAATGAGTTTCAATTTCACTTCACTTGATAAGTATGTCGACAACTCAATCTCTGTGGAGCGAAATCTTTACTATTGCAATTCATAGAACGGATGTAAATACAGCTTAACATGATATTAAGATAGAATTGTTTTAATCCGATGAATACAGTACAGAATTTAATACAACACTGAGCATGACATGTTTGGAGAAAACAACTAAATTGCTTGATGTACATGTACCTTCTACCACAAAGAAGACTGATTCGGACGTATATGATTCCGGGACTGGAATGTTATTTGAGGCTGAACATATGTAGTAGCCCGTGTCTTCATACCGATGTGTAGTCCCAGGGTCAGGTAGGGTTAGGATAGATTCTTTAGAACTGGATTTTCCAGTTAACTGACGTATCACTGTACCATCCTCCGCCGTGTGTTGCCACTGTCCAAACTGGTATATGGCCGGGTTTCCATCTGGGGTACATGTCAATGTCCTACGGAATGATGTGTATGTGGCGTTGGTGTAGCTGATATGTACGTCAGGAGGGTCTAAGAATAAAATTTGGTGGCGATATTAATTACCATTTTAAATAAATTATTAAACGTAACAGATTATCCATCAGTGATATAAAAATATGGAAGTAGGTATATCTATTAATCTATTCTCGTATTTTTCATGTCGTCTTTTTTCAAACTGAAACCCCTTTTTGATACAAACAAGGAAAATTTAGTTTATTTTTAACACTCGTGTCTCTTACTATTTGATTATTTACATCAAGTTTCATTTTAAATAACTTCAACAGTTTAGCCCTTCATTACGCACACCTTGAAATACCGTAAAACTAATGCGACTATAAACTTTAAGATCCATAGCCAAGAAGGTAATGATATCACATATGTAAACTCCGATGTAAACAGCTGTATTACCCATAGTAAATATGTGAAAGTTATCCTCAAAGGATGTACGGAATGTTACCGTTTCACGTGTATTGACCTGACGTGCGACTGTGTTAGAGATGATATTCTTACACAATATTGTTATAGTCCGTCGTTCTGATTCAGTCCCTCCAGATAAGGCCCGGTTACTGGCTCTACAGTACACAGACTTCCCATTGTCCTGACGACTGACTCGGAGAGAGAGTGTTGACGTCACGGTGTAGGTTTCTGTAGCAATGTCCATGGCCTTGACCTCTGTTGGATTACTTGACTGCCATGTTCCCCCAACATTCCACTCAATGTCGGCCGCCGGTCTACTTCCTGTAGACTCACACACTACCTGTAGGTCTGTGTTCTCTGTCTGGGACATCTGGCCAGATATAGTAGACTGTCTCGGTTTCACTGTAATTTAGAGTTGCTTTTTATGTGAGAATGTTCAACGTTTTTGGAATTTGTCATTAAGCTATGACTGAGAAACCTGATTCACTTAGATATACTGTATTTCTATTTACCCCGATTTAAACATGTAGTTAGTTGTACCCTACTTTATATATGTCTGCGCCACCTGTTTCATCGAGTACGTGTTTCCATTCTTGTGGAAAATCAGAATTACTGTTCAAATCATTCTTAATCCAGAAATGTTATTCTCTTGTTTCAGCGCCTAAAACCAATTTGTATTAACCAACGTAGTTTACTGCTGCTAAAAAGATTAGTTTAGACATCATAATCTATCGATTTTATACAAAAAAATATAGGAAATTTAAACATCATATGCCTGATATTTCTTCCATTTATACCATACTTATGCTAAAAAATGTAACGAAATAAATATTCAGCATCATAAATTATGAAACATTATTGAGAACAGTCTTGCTGTCTTAACTCTTCCCATGAGCTCTTTGCCTTTGACCATATTTACTGATGAATTTGGTCTTAATTATTGAGGGAGTTAATGTTAGGGCTTGCCAGGTCTGGATTACTAGACTGCCGAGTACACACAATATATATACTCAAAGTCTAGGTACATCAACACCCTATTGATAGGACTGGTCAGTACTGGTCTACTTGACTGACCTGGGAACAAAATAAATACTTACAATCTAGGTATATTATCACACTGGTGGTCTGAGAACTGGTCAGGGCCGGACTACTGGACTGACATGTATACATGGTTCTATCGTCAGCTCGGGTGAAGACCTTTCTGTACTTGACTACATTGGCTGCTGTCGCAAGGATGACGCCATCTTTAATCCACGACACATTGGATGATGGAGTACCCTCACGTGCATTACATGTCAAGGTCATACTTACATCCTCCGTTCCTATTGTTCTGTTCTGGCCGTCAACACTGTCCGTGTTATCTATTTTAGGGAAATTTGGAGGAACTGAGAGAGAAAAAATGAAAGCTGAGGCAATAAGTTATTCATAATCATGGTCGATTATGCATACTAGTGTTTTAGCAAAATAGGATGGGAGTAGATTAATTATGACTTACATTTAACGAAGAAGACTAATTTAATCTGAGTTAAAATATCAGATTCTTCTAATGACGCTAATTTTGAAACACCGCCATAACGTAATAGTTAATAATTCAAAGAAAACACAAATATTGTCTTAAAATATTATTATTGTCTTAAAACAATCTGGTAAACACTGTATTACCAATCTTACATAACTTATTGTACAGTAGTTAATGATAGAATGTGTCTGTATTACCGATCTGACATAACTTATTGTACAGTAGTTAATGATAGAATGTGTCTGTGTCTGATAGTCCAATGATACATTGGTATTCCCTGACATCTGACAGTTGTACATTGCTGATCTGTAGGCTATAATGTGTCTGTATTACTTCTCTGATATAACCTACTGTACAGAAGTAGATGATAGAATGTGTCTGTATTACCAACCTGACATAACTTACTGTACAGTAATAGATGATAGAATGTGTCTGTATTACCAATCTGACATAACTTACTGTACAGTGGTAGATGGTAGAATGTGTCTGTATTACCAACCTGACATAACTCACTGCGCAGTAGTAGATGATAGAATGTGTCTGTATTACCAACATGACATAACTTAATGTACAGTAGTAGATTATAGAATGTGTCTGTATTACCAATCTGACATAGCTCACTGCGCAGCAGTAGATGATAGAATGTGTCTGTATTATCAATCTGACATAACTTACTGTACAGTGGTAGATGATAGAATGTGTCTGTATTACCAATCTGACATAACTTACTTTACAGTAGTAGATGATAGAATGTGTCTGTATTACCAATCTGACATAACTTACTGTACAGTGGTAGATGGTAGAATGTGTCTGTATTACCAACCTGACATAACTCACTGCGCAGTAGTAGATGATAGAATGTGTCTGTATTACCAACATGACATAACTTAATGTACAGTAGTAGATTATAGAATGTGTCTGTATTACCAATCTGACATAGCTCACTGCGCAGTAGTAGATGATAGAATGTGTCTGTATTATCAATCTGACATAACTCACTGTACAGTGTAGTTAATGATAGAATGTGTCTGTATTACCAATCTGACATAACTTACTGTAGAATAGTAGATGATAGAATGTGTCTGATAGTCCAATGATACATTGGTATTCCCTGACATCTGACAGTTGTACATTGCTGATCAGTAGGCTATAGATTCCGTTCTGATTGGTAACAGCGAGTCTCGTCTTTATTGAGTCTGCTAGGCTCGGGTTGATTTGTGTTCCGATGGTGTAAACAAATCCAGTAGAAGTGACAGACCACGATGTACTACCACCAGTATCAGGACATTGTAATGTTACTGTTCCTCCCTGTCTGGTGTGTACTGGACTGGCTGATGTCACACCTTCAGAATTCGTCAGGATGCAAATAGAAACAAAACTGAGACTCTGGAATTGTTTTGTCTTCTAGATGATAATAAGTAGAACTTAGGCTATTTATAAGTCTGTGTTTGTTGTTGGTTTACGTCAATTTCATGTTATGTGTTATATATCGGTATACATCGAAATTTATTTTTTTTCTATTTGACAATATTTAAACATTGTTTTGTTGGTAAATCGTTATATATCGTACACAAACTCGTTCTATTATTAGAGGTCTGTTGCCAAAACACCAATATTTTAATTATCGATGTATATGATGCTTTATAATTTAAGTGTTTTGGGATTACAGTAGATCATAATACTGTGTATTTAATTGCTTTAACGATGTTTTGAAAATAGTTTATTTCTAACTACATGTGAAATCCATGGATACCGATTATTCAGCTTTGCCATATTTGTAAATGTAAATAATCTAATGCACGATTATCGCATTTCAAATATGTACATGTATATATCCTAGCGTCCTTGGACTGAAACTTTCCTGTGTGACACATCCTTATGCATACCTTGTACAATGACCATCTGTAGATCCATTGTCCCGTCAACCATACATATATATATCCCGATGTCAAGCGACTGGAACTTTGTAAATGAGAGTGTATAACTCCCTCCTGTGTGACTCGCAGATATCCGTGATTTAACAATGCCAGAAAGATCAGCTTCAGCTGTAGTTCCTGTGACATACAGGGTACCTCCGGGTCCAGTCCAGCTAAGAATCGTAGCCTGGTCATCAGCCGGACAGGTCAATGTGACGGGGGTGTTAATCTGGATATATACTGGTGTGATGTTTTGGCCTGAAATTGTCAAATGATTTCTGCATGAGAATTTTTTACAAATGTATTAGAAGGTATATGACAGTCTTTTTTTTTAGAAAAGTTCAGTCTTAAGGCCATCAATTGCATTGATAGATTGATATTAAACGGCAAATCTATTAACATTATAATACAGGATATGAGTCAAATATTTGGTTGGATTTAGTCGTAACGAATTCTCCATTAGATTAGCACCATTGTGTTGGATTCTCCAAATAGAGGTGAGAAAGCACCATTCATCATTGTTTATTTGTTAAACAATTGTACTATTTTGGCTGATCATCTGTATATCATTATTACCGTTCGTTCTAATATATATCATGAGATATTTATAGCATATATGACATACATACATATATATAGAAGTACCTTAAAATGCTGTATCCATAAGATATTCGAAAAGAATAAAATCAACACAACAACTGTATTCCGCTAACGTTTTCAGGCCTAACGGCCATCTTCAGAATGTTTGCCTGAAGATGGCCGTTAGACCTGAAAACATTAGTGGGATACAGTTTTGTTGATTTTATTCTTTTCAAATATTTATATATATATATGTGTGTGTGTGTGTGCGCGCGCGCGCGCGTGTGTGTGTGTGTGTGTGTGTGTGTGTGTGTTTCCGACAAACCGTCGGCATAAGGGTAGAAAATTATGACATAATAGGGGTGGGTTTTTTTGCCCTCTTGAAGTTTGAGAAGGTTTTTCTTACCTTCTGATAGCAGATGGTCAGCTGTTACAGGCATCTCTTTTGGGCATATGCCGATAGCAATTGTCTTATAATTATTGATAGTTAATGTGTTGATTCGAGAGGAGGGTGTAAGTGGGTAATGCACGTTTAAGGTTTCATCCGAGACCAGGTCTTTTCCCCAGTTTCCCGGGACAAGGCTAATTTTTGCAGAATCCCAGAAACGAAATAAATAAATAAAGGTAATTAAGATGTTGATTTGGAATTAATCATTTGCCAAAATTCGATGTGATTCGTAACAAGAATTGGCAGATTGACTTTTGAAATGCAGGACTAAAACACAGCTAAGCAACGTCGAGTCAATAGTCGGGTTATACATAATTTATTCTGCTAGAGTTTTATAGAGTAAATAAAATAAAAGTATATAACATCCCTGTCAGTACTTAGAGGATGCTGGCCACTAAGTCAAGTATGTTTATATCGATTTGAAGAAAACATTATAAAGCATGCTATAACTAATTCAATAATTGAGCTATCTGTCATAGGCGTATGACACATGTGGAGCTGTTGTATATATAGTGTTACTTATGTGTATCACTGTAGCTAAAACACAGATATTTAATACAGGGAGACTGTACGAGGCCGCAAATATAATATAACATGGTAAAGAAATAAACTCAGCTGTTAATTTTGTTATTTGGCTTGGTGTCGAAATCATTTAAATGTTTTTTGTTGTTTGTGCAACATTTAACATATCACGTCACACATATTAGAACTAGTCTTTACTAGCAGACGATATTTGTTTTTGCGGGAGTACTATAACATCTACAGGTTTTTTTCAACAGTGAATATGTAGCACGTTGGTCGTAACCTACTTAGCCGATTATGTGGATGGTTGTCAGGTATGGCGTTCAATTAATTTGAGAGTCATTATCAATAAATAGATAGAGGTTGATTTGACAAACATATCAAATTATCATTATAGTTATTGTCGTTATAAGATGACATCAACTGACGATAAACCACGTACCTTGTACAACAACGTATGTTACAGTAATTATCAACAGCATAGAGAGGAACATGGTGGTCCACCTATCTACCATGTTAAATTTCCGTGTTAATTCAACGAGGAAGTTTAAATGCTGTGCTAAATATAACAACACATTGTTGACATTTGTGTGTGAAAACAACTCTGAAAGTATTGTTCAAAAAGTCACCGTTATAACTTTGTTATCCAATATTACAGTACTACTTTGTCGCGATATGTACCATTACTCATTTGCCATCATATATACTACTATAACTTTGTCACCCTATGTACCATTATTACATAATCGTCCTATGTACCATTATTACATAATCACCCTATGTACCGTTATTACGGTGTCCCCTATGTACCATTATTACTTTGTCACCCTATGTACCATTATTACTGTGTCACCCTATGTATCATTATTACATAATCATCCTATGTATCACTATTACTTTGTCACCTTATGTATCATTATTACATAATCACCCTATGTACCAATATTACATAATCACCCTATGTACCATTATTACTGCGTCACCCTATGTATCACTATGTCATTATCACCTTATGTACCATAACTATTTTGTTATCATATATACCATTATCACTTTGTCACTCTATATACTGGTATTACTTTGTCACCTTCTGTACCATTGTTACCTTGTCACAGTATAAATGAGTAAAACTTATGATTTTCTGTATCATTAATACATCGTCAAGATGCATATGATTTCGTGTAATTACAAAAATATGTTATTTAAATCAAAACATCACCAAGTTTTTTTTAATCATTTTATTTTCTATTTTTCTATAAGAGCTTTACAAATAAAATTGTGTAAACTGATCTACAAAAAAAAGTATATCGGATGTACATAAATACATAATGTACACTAGCAAGCCTTCAAATAAAGCAGGTATTTATGTAAATTCTAACACCGGGTTTGACATCAAAGGAAACAATTTGACGTCAGTATATGCAAATGTTTTTACAAAATCATTTAAAATAACAATTTTTTTAACATTTTAGGCCGCAGACATTTTAAGCTCTTAATCGTTTAAAATTTCGTTTCGTTATATTCTCAATCCTTCAAGAGAGCGTGAAAATGAGTAGCAAACAATCAAAAGATAAAAATGTTATATAAACTTATTACATATAAGTATAAAAACAAAACAGATATATAACCATACGATGAACCGCTGAATCAACTCCAGTCGGAATGTTGCGATATTAATCAGCCACTGTATACAGTGTTTGTATGGTAATTAATGTTTAGGACAATTACTATCAGAAACAGTAAGAAATCATATGTTTATGATTAAAACAGAAATTCATCTAAAAGTTCTATATGATCTTCACTGATTTAATATAAAACTAAGGGAGACAACATTATAATACAGATTATACAGATTTGGGTACAGATTTACCTTAGATGACCTGAATGAACACACTAAAATCAGCAGGACTGATTAGGAATCAATCAACACACAAATCATTTAAGTGTAATAATATAAACATGTATTTATCATCTTTTGAATTTTATCGACAAGTAATTTAGCAACTTATTTTTTAAACTTAAATAATTGTAAACCTGACAGATAAATTTAGGAAACTAGTTTTTTTCTGTTTTGTTTCAACAAGCCTTTGCGAGTACAAATGAGGAGTCTTATAAATCACAAACCAAATGGAATTGAATATGCAAATGATGAAGAAAACAATAATTTCTATGATAAATATTTCAACTGTACATCTGAGGTTGTTATTGTTCAGGCACAACACAATCTGTAAATATGTAACGTCATAGCATTTTCTATGGCAACGTCACAGTAATCTATATTTACACATAATTATATATATATATAACGTTACTATCATTTTACACTAGTGTAATATAGTATATTCATCAAAGACAAAGTCAGTCATGGGATTTCATCATAAAACTGATAATGCATCTATTTAAAAAGACATCTATTTACTTTTATAAAAGTAATGTATAAAAATGTTTATTCACTGTTACATATTACACAATGAATGATTAAATCTGTAAAGTCCCCGCTGATTCTTAGAGATATCAACTAAACATTATTTTTCAAAAATAACAATCAGTTGAGCAGGTGCCATCACCAGCAAAAAACAGTTATTCAATGTACGAGAGGGAACCAGAGAACAAACTCAGTATGTAAAGGCAGACTTGTACATGTAATCAAAAAACCTATATTCGGACACCAGTGTAACTTGTCATGTGACCTGTTAAAAATCTCACACAAATACATAATATTTGTGTTAATACATCAGACTTATGTAGTATAAAAAGATATCGATGTAGCTCATAACACGATGTTTATTTGCATTAAAATGACTGCAATAAACATCTCGCCATCACTTTTCATGAAATTCATTCAGATTAGTAAAAAATCTTAGTGACAACAATATATACAAACTTCCTTTCATACATATGTAATTAAGGTGGTGTGAATCCATCACTTTTATCTAAAATAACGTGTTTTGAGTAAAACGCAGTATATCTTAAATATCGATATAAGGTTAAACACACTACAAACCAAGCATCTGTGAGACGTGATTAATTATCGAAAGTACACCTTTCAATAAAAACTAGAATGGGTTGTTGTTGTTCAAATTCCCTGGCATACATTACTACTCATATTTCAAGGAATATATATATATATATAGATAGATATTATATACTTGCTTATTATGCTATATCATTCATGAGTGAAAAACAATGTAAATGAATGACTTAGCATTTTAAAGATAGCAATGAATGATAGGTGGGTGTAGTATTAGTGTATTTTTTAACAAACATCATAAGAGTATTCCTATTCCAAAGAAAAACAAATACATTGACCCTTTTTTTAAAGTTACAATGCAATATCTGTAATGTTGAAATGAATATTTCAAATATTTCACTAAAAAGAGATATATATGGAATTAGCATAACAACCAGGTACTTGATGTTGTTGTCTAAATAATCTAGTTTTGCCTCTATTGTTCATTTGATACTGGTGTCATGTCCAAAAGTCCCTTGTTTACGGCCTGAGTCAATGAACCATCTGTAACAAACAAAACACAGAATGATTATATTATTATGTATGGTAGCAGAAAGCTGTGTATAAACAAGACATTTATTTATTAGATCCTTTTGTGTGATACTTCGTTAAATAATGATAAAAGAAAATATCAATACCTGACCAGGATCACTCATCAATCAAAATTCAATAAAACTAAGGCATAGTCTGACTGGAAGACAGATTTACACTGAGACTCTTGAAAACATACAATGGAATAATGCCATAAGTTTCAGAATAGTGTCCTCTACAAAATACAATTCAGGAAAACTAGGCCAAAGAGACAAGAAGACTCTTGAAAACATACAAGTAGATAAGGCCATGTATTTTGGCCATCTGTTTCAACGATAACATCCGACAGATAATTCATCGTAATCCAAATATGCTAGGTCACGTTCTCTAATGATTACAACAGATACAACAACGGAATCAACAGGCATGGATGAAGGTAACAAACATTAAACATAACTAGTTTCACTTCGCACAAAGAAACAGAATATTTCTAAATGAGATCACTATGACCATCGTAATTTTTTTCCTTAATCAATATTAAACCTGCATCTCTTGAATCCGTGTTTTCATTTTGTCTGTCAGTAAACTACATTTTTCGCGATATTTGAAAAAGCACATGCATTTGGAATCAACAGTAACAATGTAAACACCCAAGGATCAATTCTTACATAACAAATGTGTTTATCTCTTGATGCAAAGCAATGCTATATATGGTTATGGAGTGGGGATTTCAATTATTTCATAGATATAACCAAGAAATTGAGTCCAGATGGTTTGGGCCACACCCGACAGCCAGTTCCTACATTATGAATGTGTTTATCCCTTGATGCTTAGCATTGCTATCAATGGCTATGGTTTGTGGTTCTCAACTGTATCAAAGATGTAACCCAGATACTATGTCTCAAGGCGTGGGTCCTGAACCCAGTCAT